TTTCTGTCTCTCTGTCTCTCTCTCTGTCTGGTGAGCACATGCACCCTATAGCAAAAAACCTCTAAAAAAAGAAAAAAGAAAAGAAAAGAAAAGAAACTCAGTGATAGCAAATGTATATGAAATTCCTCCTAGCCTGGTTTGTGGACAAAATCAAGGAAGAGGAGGTAAGTCAAGTACATCTCCCAGACACAGACACACCCCAAATAATTAAAGATTTCTTAGATAAAACATGGGAGCTTTTGGTCAAGTAATTATTGGACAACTGAAGTGTAAATAGACTTGGAATATGAAATACATCTATCCTATTATTGTGCTGTCTTATCTTAAAAATACACTAGGACTGTTTTCCTACTGTAATAACCATTAAACACTCAAAAATCAGCTTAGTGGGTGAGGATAAACATATTTTAATGACTGCAAGAGAATTACCATAGTAATTATCTGTTTCTTAATAACCTAAAACACATTATTTTTCATTCTTTAGATTGCATTACTAAAAAGAGTCAGTGGTCATATAACAGGAGTAATTATATAAGAATAACAAAAGTGTTGAATTATTTATTAATGTCATCGAATAAGTGACCCGTGTATGAATTTCTTCATTATCCCTGAAATGTCAAACCAGGATTTAATAAAGAGCCAGGATCCTGTCTCTCACTCACCTGGATAGAGACTGTTCCTCTCCCCTCAGGTTCTGGTCTCCTGGTTATAGGACTCAGCTCTGTGAAAAACACAGGAACCTTCACATTGTTGCCTATTGCGGGGCGCAGAGCTTTGTGGGAAATGTAGTCTCTGCTCCGATGACGTCATCAGCACAGGCCAAGGAGGGTGGCTTTTTCAGATTCTCTCTCCACCTGTGGCGCTCAGTGCCTTCCGCCTGGTCGCTGGGGAGAACCAGCCGCTGTGCTGACCATTTGAGCCTGAGTGTGAAGGAGGAGGGTTGTGAAAATTGAGGACCCTAATAGGAGAGAGGTGCCCCTCTTCCTTGGTGGGAGCAGAAACATGGGGGGAGGTCGGGTGGAGGAGGAGGGCGCCTGAGGGAAGGTGCAGCCCCTGGTCCACGCTGGGTGGGGTGAGCGACAGGAGTGTCGGGGTGTGCAGGTCCTGGAGGAGGAAAGAGGTGACCTGGATTTTGCTTTCAGTATCTGCTTTGTCAGAAGGTGGGTGTGTGCATTCAGGTATACAATGGTGACTCCAGAAGCTACAGAAGGGGTGATCCAGTCCAAGCTGGGCACCGGGTCGGTTTGTTATATTTTGATCAGTGAGAAAGGAGAGGACACCCAGTCATCGCCAAGTTATAGGAGTCTTTACTACCAGCAACTGGGCAGCTCTCATGTCTCTCAAAGACCCCGGAGCCCCAAGTGTAGGGAGAAGGGTGCTTGTAAAAACAAAAAGCACATTTGCGTTGATGTGGCAGGAACAGTAACCATTGAGGAGGGAGCAAAGAAGAAAAGGAGAGGAGATTACAGTGGAAAGCAGTCACAGAAGCCTGATCAAGCAGGTTAGTAATTACTAAGGGCACTTTCCAGTCCCTTGCCTAAACACAATGGGATCTTAATGGTCTTCATGGCTTGGGGCAAGGAGCTTATCACTAAGGAAGTCTCAAGTTAGGGGTTTCAGGTTATTTAGTAAAGACTTCAAGAATGTCAGTCACTCTTGTTTACACAAAAAGTTCTAAGCAAGTTTCCAATATAGAATTCACAATGGAGGTTCTCCTGCTTCAGGTTGAGGAGCCAGGGGCTCAGAGAACCAGGAGTTCAGCTTCCAGGATCCTGATGAGAGAGGAGTAAGCTCTCTGGTTAGGTAGATAGGGTGAGGAGTCCACAGAATGGAGGATAGGAGACAAATAGAGTTAGTACAGTGAATCCTTTAATAAAAAATACATTCACAACTCTCAGCAGAAATCAATTATTAGCTCTTTCTTCTTGCTTGGACAGAAAGCTGCTTGCAGCCTGCTTAAAATAATTACAGCTGAAAGTAGCATTATCTGTATCATTGCTACATTCCAAATGAAAAGTGCAGTGACTCTTGGTCTGGAGAGCAGCAGAGGGAAGGACCTTGAACAATAAACCCTTCTTTCATATTTCAAAAAATTTATGAGCACTTGTTGACTGGCTACAAATAGACAAACTGGCTGTAGTCCTGAGCACAGTGTCCAACTCAAGGACAATGATTAGTTTAAGACTCCTGATGGACCAAAACTCTTGTGCTGGCATCGCTTTTTAAAATGTACTTTTTTCTCCATGTCCTTAGACAAAATTATTTTTCACATTTTTAAAAATTTTTCTTGTCAGGGTTCATTCTGACACCCTGAGTATACCCATTTGCTTAGCTGGAAACTTTGACTGTTTTCTAATAAACTTTGATTACTATCCTCTCCTTTTGTCCACATTTATAATTCTTTGTGACCATCAGATAAGAACGTGCCCAGGTGTTGGATCTGAACACCTAGCACTTCATAGCATGGATGGTACTCTGTATCTCATTAAGTTTACCCATCTGTAATACTAGCCTATTTCCTGTTCTAGGGAAATACCCCCAGTTTCCCAGTGAAATAACTGTGGATTCTTTGTAGACAGAGTGTTCCTATGGCAGCTGTATTTGTGGGGTGTCTTGGAGTCTTAAAGGGAATGAAGCCTCTGGTTCCCTCCTGCATTTCTTTGGCCTGCCTAGCACTCCTGGGTAAGTTACATTTTTCTTTTAAGATTTTTGCTATGGGACACAAGTACTTGCCTGAGAGATACAGAGATGGGCAGGGTAGGTTGGGAGAAAGGAGAAATCACCCCCCACGGGGGTGGGCATGCCAAAATCCCTTCTTCTCCATTTTCCTCTTGGAATTTTGGGCACATGTGAACATAGTCTGGATGTAATTTTCAAGCCAATGTATCTGGGAATCAAACTACAAAGTTGCATGTGGATTTAGCAGCCTTTCCTCAATGCCACTGGCTGGCCCACTCCTGGGTAACTTTAAAAACTTTTAGGGGCTATCTGGTGTAGTGGTTAAGGTTTTGAACTCCCACTTGGCTGAAGGAAGCAGCAGCCTTTCCTTCAGTCCAAGATCTGGCAGTTTGAAAATCACACTAGGTGCATGTGCCTTTTTGTCCAAAATTCCGGGAGAAGAATGGAAGAGAAAGGATTGTCGTGTGGCCATCATCCTTGCTGGGTGTGTTCTCATCCACCTCCCTCCTTTCTGCCACTCTCTAGCAAGCGCAGTCTCCCTATGGTAAAAACCTAAAGAGGAAAAAAAGAATCTTATATGAGTTCAAATTCAGAATCCAGTGACAGTAATTTCTGTTAGGCAGTTTGAAGTACTGATGAATGGTAGCATTTTATTTGGAATAAAGTATTGGGAAGTTAGAAAATTATACTATACAAATAGGAATCTCACCTGAAAGAATAACCCTGTGGCCTGAATACTGTGTTAGAACGTCAGAGCAGTGGCAGAAGAGTCTGGGAAAGGAAAACAAAATTTTAGTTTACTTGAAGTAATTATTGATCTTTCTTCCTAGAGTGGACAAAATTTGGATAATCCCACCTTCTCTTGAAGTACTGAATGCTGCTCAGAGGTTTGGACCAACTTTTAGATAGGATAGATAGTTTGACTCAGATAGGCAAAGCCCTAACAGTATCACTTATTGGAGAAAGCTTAGAGTGTGGCCTGGTGTGAAGTTATAACCTGTCATCCTGAGTGTCTGTCTACAGTGCTCTCTAAATAGAATCCATTCTTTCAATTTGTTGTCATTGTTTCCTGTTTCTGAACTCACTTAATCTTGATCTGTCACCAAATTTGGCATCTAGAAAAAAGCGGATGCACCCTCTATCTTGATAGGTTTTCCTAGTAGTTCAGGAAGGGTTTGCCAAAGTATTTCTATCTTATAAGAAAAACAGAAATAAATTAGATTTGAGATGTGTCTTTCTCAGAGTCTGGTTATTTGTAGATGCTAGACATTCTGACGTTTGGCTAGTGTTATCTGTTTTCTTTACCAGATTTCAATCAAATGAACCATTTTTTTTACTTACAAATTTTTTGTGTGTGACATTGAGGTTAACACAAGCATGCCTTGCGATACCTTTCCTATCCCTCAACTAATTTTGTGACTTATGTGGTTTCAAAGAGTTTTCCACTTAATAACAGCAATGTCTTATTAAGATGATAAATTCTGCAGAAAATTTATAAGAGTTTTTATTTCTTCTGTTTTTTGAAGGTATTTTTACTGTAGGACACACACACTCACCAGAAAGAATTCCCTCCATCCCCCTAACCTTGGGGAATGGCCAATTCTGAAATCCTTTTTCCTCCTCTCTCCTATGATTTTGGGTGTACACACACATTCACTCACTAACTCATGTGCCTGGCATGGTTTTCATGTCACTGGATCTGGGACTTGACCCACATACTCAGCCATGTGTGGGATCTACTACCTTAACTACACTGCTTCCCACTGACCCATAAGAGCCTATTTTACATTATACAAAATAGGAAAATTAGACTGTGACACTTTTACTTTAAACCAATTTTTAAAATGTAAATAAAATGTAATGCAGTACTCTTGTATGAGTAACAAATCCTTATGTTTTGTTTATTAATTAAAATTTTTTTGTGTGTAGGA